ATTTCAATGAACACACCAAGCTTGTCAGTTGGGGGATTCATGATGTCAGTAACCATTTTCTGTTAGTAAGCGATAATTTATTCTATCAAGCTTTGCTTTAACTGTACAGATATTTCCAATTTCTGTGAATTTTCAGCCTTATAATAACTTCTCTGAAGCTTTGCCCCAAAATATGCAGCACGAGAATGATCTTTATTTTGAAATCTCAGTTTTGAAACTGTTGTTCTTTCTTTTGATAAAAGCTACACAGGAATGTTTTAATGTGATATAAAGCTCATCCCAAGTGCTGTCAGATGCTTGCTGTGAGGGCTCTGGGGCAAGTAATCATAGTTATCCACCTGCTGGGTGTTCTCTTTGTGGCTATGTTAAATATTTAATGGAGTCCCCTCCTTGCGGTGAGCAGAGCGACTTAGAGGGCAAGCCACAGTGATTACTTGCCTGCTGTCTGGCTGTTCAAGTTGACTCTTAGCAGTAGTACCTGCTGGGCTTGATAACATACATGGTTTTATAGCCTAGCTCCTTAGTTTATGTGTGGAAAATTATGACAGAATGGTTATATAAGGGTAGTCACAGACTGGAACTAAATTTCTGAGTTTTAAATTTTGCAACATTATGAAGATCAGAATATGTTTATTTTGTTGTAAGAATTTGTGATCCTTGAAAAGCATAGAAGATGAAAATGATCTATTAAATATAAACTGATTATATATACTTATAGTGGCTTAAGAAACACATGTTCATGAGTTATCTTGTTCGTAGGTATTGTAGTTTTATTGAACATTTGCTCCTTGGGAGGGAGTATCCATGCTTTTAAATTTTAAGTCACATATCACAATTCTGCTCACAAACGCTGCGAAGTCTCTTTATTTTACTAAAGTAGCAGCCAAATTTATAATTCTTTCAGAGGCTTTCAGTGTCCTACACAATCTGGTTTCTGATTATCCACAACCAGCCCTTTCTCATACTTCTCCAGCCACACTGGTCTCCATGTAATCCCTAGAACATGCAGCTCACACACCTACCTCAGGGCCTTTGCACTGGCTTACTCCTTTAACTGAAATACTTTTACCCCAATTGCTGCACCTCTCACCTCTTTAAAATCACCATTCAGATGTTATTTGTTAGTAAGGCTTGACATCCTTGATATTCCTAATCCCTTTTATCCTGCTCTATTTACCCCGCTTAATCCCCAACACCTTCTAACATATAATTTACTTATGTACTTTTTGTATTGTTTACCATCTGTCTTCCCTCATAGAACGTAAGCTCAGTGAAGGTCAGAATTTTGTCAGTTTTGTTCTCTGATGTGTCTCTAATGACTAGAACAATGTTTAGTATATAATAAACATTATCATTGAATATTGTTTAGTTTTATCAAATATGTTACCTATATTATTAATAAATATATTAAATACTATGCGGCTGTCATGGCTCAGTGGTTGAGCATTGACCTATGAGCCAGGAGGTCACAGTTCAATTCCCAATTGAGGAATATGCCTGGATTACGGGCTTGATCTGCAGTGTGGGGTGTGTAGGAGGTAGTCAATCAATGATTCTCTCTTATCATTGATGTTTCTATCTCACCTCCCTTCCTCTCTGAAATCAATAAAAATATATTTTTAAAATACAGATTTAAGTACTATTAAATGTAGAATAACTTGGTGTAGAACATATTTTAATATATATGTAGAAAAAGATAAGGAAGAAGTTATAACAAACTGCTAATAGTTGTCTTTTCTAGAGATGACAAGATCAGTGCTTTTGATTTTATTTTTACTTAAAAATTTCACAAGTGTTTATGTTATTTTTGTGTAATCAGGAAAAATCATAAAGATGCTTTAAAATGTTAGCCCCTTTATATTTTATATTTTACCAAGCTATCATGAGCCTTCTAAAAACTATAAACTATTATTAAAAGCCAGAGTTGAAATAACATTAAGATTTAGGTAAATTAAGTTGCCTTGCTATATCCTTAAGGATTCAAGTAGATTACTTTCTCTTGCTTTTGCCCACATGGAGTGTTGCTTGGACATTATTCTAAGATCCTTGTCTGAAATGTCCTAATAGCATGCACATAAAGTACATTTGCAGATGACCTGCCATTGCATCAGGAGGCTTCTTCTAGTGCATACGCTATTTACAACTATCTTCACCATGATGCAATTATTCTGGCCTTGTTTAGTTGGCATTGTGCTTGATAATTCAATAGCTAGCTGTGCTCCAGAACATCATTGTGATCTGTAAAAATTTCTGCTCTTCTTTTCTATTAGATTCAAAACAACACCTTAAAACAATACACTAATGCACAGCAAGCCATTATTTAATCAACACGAGGTACAATATTCTACTTCTTAATTTAATATTTCCTTCCATTAGTGTAGCGATGAAGAGAATTTCAGAACCATTAAATGAAAGGTTTGTTTTCTGCCTGTAACAGGAATGAATAATTGGACTCAACAATTAAATGGAAAAGGTGCAGCCAGGGGAATGGCAAAATATAACTAAAAAGTAGGGCAGGCTTTGTGCGTGAATGGCTTGGCACTCTATGTATGTGTCACAAATTCAGCAGTGGGTAACCCATCAGTGCCTAGTTCTCCTCTGCCATGGTGGCCAATGCCCAGAGTTACACAGTCAAATCTGAGGTATTATGATCTTAACTCTGTCATTCTTCAGTCATAGACAGTTCTTCCATATGAACTTCTTTCCCTGACCTTTTTGTTAAAGCCTGTTATAGACAACTCAATAGGTCTTACCCTTACGTGAGCACTTAAGGATAATGGGGCTACGATCTCTGAGATTATCCAACATAGAGAATTAAAGTCCATTTCGCCTGTCAGATCTTAATAGGAAAATATCTCTGCAATTAGGGATACTGAATACTAGCCCAGCAGGACAGTTCAGTGTCTACTAGAGGCCCAATGCACGAAGAGATTCATGCACTAGGCCTTTCTTCCCTTGGCTTCCAGCACCCAGGCCTTTGCTCCAGCCAGAGTCTAGCCAGAGTCTGCCACCTTCGTCTTCACCACAGACTCCAGCTGGAGTCTGCCATCTTCATTTTTGCTGCAGACTCTGGCCAGAGATCTTTGCTGCAGACTCCAGCCAAAGTCTGCCGTCTTTGCTGCAGTCTGCAGTCTGGTCCTCGCTATGGTGGAAGTGTCGCTCCTGTAGATTCCTTCACCACCACCCCATCCACCCTCCCTCTCATAGCAGGCATCCTGCCCCGCCTGGCCACTCCATTCCTGGAACAGCTGGGCGGCCACCATCTTTGTCCTTCTAATTTGCATATTCCCTCCTGATTGGCTGGTGGGTGTAGAGGAGGTATGGTCAATTTACACATTTGCCTATTATTGGGAAAGATTCTCTGTAACACCTTCATAATGCCTTCTGGTCACCACTTATGTTTCTGTTACAAAGGGAAAGGCACACAATTGAAACCAGTCAGAGTTAGAGCTCTGTGGATCTGTTGAAATGCATTTGCAACCAATAATTTCCCAGTTGCTGATAATTAGGATGGGCCAGTTTGAGATTCTTTCCAGAAAGTAGGTAGGGTATGGTAGAGAAGATTGGACAGTGGATGTAAGAGTTCCAGATGACCAGGAGGGTGAGGAAGCTTAGGGGGATTACTGATATGTGAATAGAATATAGAATGGGGTAGTTGTGGGTGATGAAGATAAATAGGAGTCCCGTAGTTCTAAGAGTCAAACAAATTTTGCTGCATAGATTGTGGAGACAGTGACCTTTCTAAGCCAAAGGTCAGTTGTTATTTTATTCTAGGAATGCTCATGTCAGGAACTTGTAGGCATTGTTCTAGGAGCCATTAGGATTGATCTCATGTGCCTGTAAGGTGGGCAAAAAGAAACCGCTTCTCTATTGTTTCAAGGAAATCAAATGACTCACTGAAAACATCTCTCTCAGCTTGTTCCAGTGCCATAATTTCTCTCTAGTAGATTGGCATTTGGAGGATAAAGTTTTGTTTGAGATTATTGTTAAAGTTGTACATATCCCTAGGGAAAGGAAACATATTGCATATTAATAAATTATCATCAATTAATTTAACATATTCTTTAACTACCTTTGAGAGCCTGGAAAATAAGACAACTATGTTTTGATGGCTCCTAGAGATAAACCATCTTTAATTAGACCCATTAACTGGGAAACTGCACTGATTTTTGGTTTAAAAAAATATATCTTTCATTTTACCGACAGTCTAAGCTTTGTCATCCTCACCACCAGCCTCTCAAACTGTCTCTGTCCTTGTTTAGCTCCGTTACTGCATTTTCCCTTTCTTCTTTCCTCAGCTGCTTAAGATTTCCTAATGGAGGTTAGACAGAGCCTACAGTTGTCCTACAGTCAACAGAGGCAATTGTGCCTACTGTTCAGTGCTGGTTCAGGACCACCAACAATTGTGTATGGCTCTCAGCAAAACAAAACAGACCCAAAACATTCTAGTGCTGCTCTGGCTAGCCCAAGACTATATATTATGCCTTCCAGATTTCTCTAAAATTGACTTCCTTCTCCTCATGCTCACTAGCATTGCTGTAATGTAGTCATTGTCCTTAGGGAACGGGGCGGGGGGGGGGGGGGGAAACACCCCCTTTGTTCTTATAGAAGATAAAGTTGATGGATGTGTTTGTTAATGTCTGGCTTCCTTTGAGCCAGTCTCTCCATTTTCTAGGTAGTTGATTTCTCTAAGTCTTATCTGATAAGTATATGAGATATTTCATGTGAAAACCCTAAACAAGTATCATGCATTGAGCGAACATCCAGTAAAACTTAGCTTATAATCATCATTGTCTTTGGTATGGGGATTTTTGTTGATTCATACTTGGTTAGGGCTTGGTTTCCTTGTGAGGTTTTAAACTAAAAGATATAGATGTACATTAAAAATTAAATTATAATGTGTTTTTTAAAATATTATTTTAAAAATACTTGTTATGAAGAGCAAAAGAGAGAAATGAGTACACAATGTTTAATTTCAATTAACTACTTTTGTATCCTAGGCTGACCAAATATCTGGTTTTCACATAAGATCCGTTCTCTGCGTACCTATTTGGAATAGCAGCCACCAAATAATTGGTAAGACATCACCTAAATGTTCAAACACTTTTTTAAGAAATAAAAATTTAATTTAAAATATATCAGTTTTTTTTTTTTATGAATGCCCCTTTTTTATGTCTAGGATTCATCAACCTATGTCTCATACTCTTGTGTAATCTCCTAAGTGCAGACTTCTGATGAATCTACCTTAATCCCATCAATGAACAAACATCTATTCTTTAAATAAGAACCAATATTTTTGAAGTTGGAAGGGATCTCAGAAAGTAATTAATAGGATTCTTTTACCTCAACCTTTGGAAACTAAGGCAGGGCAGGGGGCTGCAAAGATGAATAAAATCACAGAGTGAGTTGGTAGCAGGGTTAAAACTAAAACTCAAGCCTCCTATCTCCTAGGACAAACTCTCCTACTACATCTACATATTTATATCTATGCGTTTACACATGGACTAAATGCAAAGAAAGAAAGAACATGAATTACTAGACATATACTGAACATACATCCTTCTGTCTAGATGATTTAGAAATAAGCTACGCTTTCCCCAGAATACGGGAATTATGGATCAAAGCAGCTTCCATTTCTTCTCTCCCTCCTTGCTCTCTTCTCTCCCTTCAAAAATCCAGTCAGGAAAACATTAAATCTGAGAAGGAAGTCTAGCAAGAAGTGGTCAGTGATTAAAGTAAAGAAGTTGTGAAGGATGTAAGCATTAGTTAAAATTATTGAAATGCAATGAAAATGTGATTTTTTTTTAAGAGGCATAGGTAACTCATGTATTTGGTAACCAATGCATCTATTTGCCTCTCTGTCTCCCCAAGTTTGCCTCTTAAACTCTAGGACACTGCCACTTACCAATTTGTTGCTCTGTAAAGGTTGTCAAGACTTAAGTTCTAAGAAAAATTTTTTCATCAGTTTAATTTGCAGAAAAACATTAGTACATTAGTGAAAATATGGAATAGTCTAATATTTAGGAATTTGAGCCCCTAGTACATTGCATTGAATTGCATCATGTACAGAATTTTAAATAAATTTCAGTTGAAAGAGAAGAGGAAGTCCATAAGAAACAACATATGTTATCTGTTGCTGTCCAATGTAAATCTCACATACAGTCTTTCATTTTATCCCTAGCAGTAAACATCTGTTATTCTTTCAAAATTAAGCCTAATTTGCTTGTTACATGCCAAAAGATTTGCATTTAATTATATATGTCTTTTAGCATATGATGACTTACCTCCCTGATGGAAAGTTAGGTGTTTTAAAAAATAGAAGCATGCTTTAGAATTATAGCTATTTTCTTTGTTTGTACCAAATAAGGACACAAGGGAATAATTTTTAAGATTGATGAGTGGGGTTTTTTTTGTTAATCTTGTGGGTTTTAATATCATGTCCCCAAACATCTGGAATAATGCCAGAAATGAACTTTGGAAAGAGGAAGCTCATATAAGTTAAGTTTATTAGAAATGTAGGTACTCACTAGTAGCACTCAACAGCACTAACCTTGCTTTGAAGATTAACAGTATCATTATCCCTTACATATTCCCCCTTGAGTAATATGCTTTACAAACATGCAAATGTTGTCTCATTTAATCTTCATAACCCTCTGAGACAGTTAACATTTCAACCCCTATTTTACAGATGAGGAAATTCAGTGTTAAAAAAAAAATTAGGTAACTTGCTCAAGGTAATACTGATGGTAGAGTTGAAATTTGAACTAAGACAGTCTAACTTCAAGGGCAGTGTTCTTTTATATATATATATATTATTGATTTTTCACAGAGAGGAAGAGAGAGGGATAGAAAGTTAGAAACATCAATGAGAGAGAATCATCAATCAGCTGCCTCTAGCACACCCTCTACTGGGGATGTGCCCGCAACCAAGGTACATGCCTTCCACCGGAATCGAACCCAGGACACTTCAGTCCACAGGCCGACGCTCTATCCACTGAGCCAAACCGGTCCCGGCAAGGACAGTGTTCTTAATCACTATGTCACACTGTCTCACTCAAACATGTGCTTCAGGAAATTGAAAAAATAAAAAGCTGTGTGTGTGTGTATGCCAGATTTATCAGATTTATTGTGTACAGTCATCTTGAAAACAATTTTCAGGAAATAGATTGATGCCTGGTAAAACTCTAGGCTTCAATGAGACCTAGTTGGGGTCTCACAGCCTGGAAAGTAGATTGCATTTCAGCTCATCTCAGATCTGCTGTGATGCACATCACAGGTACTAGAGAGATCAGAGATTAAACTGGGGTGTCTGGAATCACTTAAAGGAGGCATATAATCAGCCGGTGCTTGCTATATTGTAGAAACTCAGTCTCTATTGCAGAAAATGACCACATATGCCAAAATCTTCCTACAGGAGTGGCTCAAGTGTTAAATAGACTTGATGGAAAGCCTTTTGATGATGCAGATCAACGACTTTTTGAGGTAAGAAAATAAAGCAAGAATTATAGCTGAGACACCAAAAGTCTCTTGGTTGCAGCTTGCCCAGAATTGTAAGGATAAATAATCATTAATTATCTTTGTATGAAAATAGTATGACAGAATTTAAAGAAAGATTTAAAGACTAAATAGATGCTGAGGTAGTATTTGATTCTATTTTCTTTTCACTAATTAGATGATTGTGTGACCATTGATTAATTTATCCTCATTTATTTTATTTTTTTTATTTTATTTTATTTTTTTACAGAACTGAGTCAGCCACTCTCTATTCAAAGTGTTAATTACCTTATCTTTGTCTTGTTTTGGTGTGTTCAGGGCTGTGAGATCCCACCTCTCTTTATTTACAAGCTTCCTTTGACTCCAGTCTGCCCTTTAGCTAGGGAGGTTGGCTTTGAATAGATTTCCTTGTAGACTCCGTACTGGTGACCAACATGAAAACTCTATGATAATTTTTTTTTTTTAGCTGAGAATACTTCACAGCTTCTTTACTAACTGGTTTCATATCAATCCTCCTTCCTTTTAACACTTGACGGTGGGTATACTCACTTGGTTTCTTTACCAAAATATTTTATAGGCTAGGTACTGAAAGAGGTTGCTTTGGGTCAGTTGGAATGGAATGACTAACATCAGTCCACAGCCTAAACAAAGAACACATTTAAACAGACTGTAAGCGTGTTTTGAAAGGCATGAAGTCGTTTCTTCACAATGACAGTAAACTAACATTTTCTCTGATGCACATTGTGAGCCATAAAGCTGTTACATGACAATAGTAATTATGAATTTTAATGTGCATATTTCCCCAAGGCCTAACTCTGTGTACTATAAAATTATATTTTCAGGCCCATCGCTGATAACTGCTTGCTTTTATATTAGATTATTTCAATGAGTTATTGCAATTTTTAATTAGTGGGCTTTCTCTTCCTTAGGCTTTTGTCATCTTTTGTGGCCTGGGCATCAACAACACAATTATGTACGATCAAGTGAAGAAGTCCTGGGCCAAGCAGTCTGTGGCTCTTGATGTAAGTCGAGTATTTATGTCAGAATTGTATGCTAAAAAGTCCTAATTTTATGAGGGGGAAAATCATTGTTAATTTCTCAATTTTTAATGATCTATTTATTGGGTCTTACTCATATTAGAGTCATGGGTATGAATTTGGTGAAAGCTAGAGACCCTCTCTAGAAAAATGTATACATGAACACAATTTTATATATAATTTCAGGGAGTTCACAGATTCTTTGAGGCCCATCCATATATGTTGTATGGTTAAATAATAAATTTTAAATATTAGGTTCATTAGAAGTGATGATTCAAAAATAATTTCTCAGGATTTTAAGTGTATTATGAACTTATTTTGAACACATATAGATATTCCCAAAATTCACAACTAAAAGAACAATTCTTTTTTAAAATTTTTTAAAATTGATTTTAGAGAGGAATGAGAGGGAGAAAAAGATAGAAACGTCAATGATGAGAAAGAATCATTGAACAACTGCCTTCTGTATCCCCCATACTGGGGATCAAGCCTGAAATCTGGACATATGCCCTGATGGGAATTGAACTGTGATCTTCTGGTTCCTAGGTCAATGCTCAACCACTGAGCCAAGCATGCCAGACTATAAGAACAATTTTTTTTTAAAAAATCTTTATTGTTGAAAGTATTACATAGGTCCTCCTTTTTCTCCCATTATTCTCTTGCAGCCTACTCCTGTCCCCCACCCCCAGGTCTTCACTTCTCCATTATCTGTGCCTATGGGTTATGCATACAAATTTATTGGTTTATATCTTCCCAACAACCCTCACCTGCCATCCCCATGAAGTTCAGTAGTCTGTTCCTGCTTCTTATCTCCTCTGAATCCCAGCTTGTTTTGACCCAAGACCTATTTTCTTCCTGCTCTGTAGCTATATCAAAGATTTTGTTTATATCTATGAAACACTATTAAGTAGGACAGATAAAATGTCAGTGCCAAGATAACACTTTATAGAGCAATCTATATATTATATAAAAGTGTAAGTGACCATTTGACTAGTAGCTATGATGTGCATTGACCACCAGGGGGCAGACACTTTGACCAGTAGTTAGCTTGCTGCTGGGATCTGGTCAATCAGGACTGGGCAAGAGGGGTTGGACACACCCTGGAGCCCTCCTGCGGTCCTTTCCTGACTGATTGTGCACCGATGGGGTCCCTTGGCCCGGCCTGGGCCCTCTTGTAATCTGGGACCCCTTAGGGGATGTTGGAGAGTGGGTTTTGGCCTGATCCCTGAAGGCCAGGCTGAGGGACCCCATCATTGCATGAATTTGTGTACCAAGCCTCTACACACCTAATTTTCAAAACATTCCATGTACCAAGTAAGATGTTACTAGAAAAAGAAAACCAAGGAGGAGGATAAGTCAGCAAGTCAGTGCTACCTGCGTTACTTTGAGGTTTACAAGACATAAAATTATAGTTATTTATTTACATACTTTTTTCCTCCTATCTAAACTGTGAATTCTAGAAGCACAGATATTTTTATTGTTTTTGCAATCTTATTCCCAATGCCTAATAGGGTGCCTAACACAGAGGAAGTATTTTTTAGGGTTTTTGTTTTATGTTATTTTTTTAAAATTTTTTACTTTTATTGAGTGCTTTTTGAATGGAGGGAGGAAAGGAGAGAATGAAGGAAGGTATTTTTTTTTGCTCTTTCTCTGAGCTAGTTTAGCTTTGTTATATGTAACATCTTTGCAATAAGGAATACAAACAATATATAGAAAATGAATTAATATATAGTGAACTGTAAACATGCAACCCATCAATAAAAATCACTACTAGAGTGTTAATGTCTGTGTACAGAACTATTTTCAAATCCTAGCTCTGTCACGTACCTCAGTTGGGAGTATTAAGTGAAATGATGCATGTGAATATTTTAATACTCAATATAATCACATAAGTAGCAATAATGCTACATTATCACTTGTAAAAGTATATTTATTACTGAGAAATCATCATGTATTGGAAGTAAGAACAAAGGACAAAAATTTGGAACAGCAAATATTGAGCCATGTCTCTTTCACTATCATCACATTCTGATCTGCAGAGTTGCCTCACCCATTGTTTCTTAGTTTCTGCAACTATAAAAAGGAGGACATAGAATATACTAGTCCCACTGAAACCTACTTCCTATTGTCATGGTATAATTTACACACACATACACAGAACCATAGAATACCTTAAATCTCTTCATATTCTTATTCCTTACCTCCCTCATAGATCTTCCTCCTGTTGAGAAGGGGTTAAAAGAACTGGGTTGAAGCACGAATGGTTGTTTGCCAATGAAAGTAAGCATTCTCGCTGACACTACTTTCTAATCCACAGATTCTATTACCTAGAAAGTGCTAATATTGTCACAGTCTATTTACGCATGAATAACTTACTTATTTGGGTTCATAGTGAAACCCTCTTGTTTGTGTAACTCAGATACATTCTGTCTTTAGACACAGAAATTATTACTGACACTCCCAAATTTCCAGCACAACTCTAAGCTTTATGACAATCTCACCCTATATATTTACACATATAAGTCAACCAGAAGTTGACTTATATGTGTAAACTTATATGTTTTGTGTGCATTATTTTGTGCCATTGTCAAAAGTGGCATTCCCAGTCAGAATTCTGTTGTTTCCATCTTGGTTTTATCCCTCCCACCTCCACTCAATCCCTATCTCACCAGATACCAAATTCTTGACTCTATTGATCAGGTGGCACATACCCCTTCTATAGCCTAGGAATCCATATAGAAGAATAGCTAGGATTTCTTTTCCTTCCTTCCTTCCTTCCTTCCTTCCTTCCTTCCTTCCTTCCTTCCTTCCTTCCTTCCTTCCTTCCTTCCTTCCTTCCTTCCTTCCTTCCTTCCTGACTAGGTGTGAGGAACCAACCTGCAACCCAGGTGCCCTTGATCAGGAATTGAACCTGTGATCCTTATGTTCCCAGGCCGATGTTCTAATCACTGAGCCACACCAACCAGGGTGATGCTTTTCTTAATTTTTCATAATTTTAGCATAATTCTTTGCTAAAATTCTTTCTTCTTTTTTTAAAAATATTTTTTTATATTTTTATTGATTTCAGAGAGGAAGGGAGGAGAAATAGATAGAAGCATCAATGATGAGAGAGAATCATTGATTGGCCACCTCCTGTACCCACTGGGAATCAAGCCCACAACACGGGCATGTGCCCTTGACTGGAATCAAACCTGAGACCCTTTAGTTCGCAGGCCGATGCTCTATCCACTGGACCAAACCAGCCAGGCCAAATCCTTCCTTCTGATTTTATAAAATTAGTACTCTAAGTCTCATAAAGAGTAGAGATGTTCTTAAAGCTAAATACTGGAACAAAGAGAGGATTTTATTATCATTTTTAATAGCATTAATTTTATGATCACAATTTTCAATCTATGTGAGCAACCAAGAGCTTTAACAAGAAATGTACTAATTTATGTTCACATTTTCTGAAAGTAAGGATTGAAGATAAAAGGAGGAGCCGGGACCGGTTTGGCTCAGTGGTAGAGCGGCGGCCTGCGGACTGAAAGGTCCCGGGTTCGATTCCGGTCAAGGGCATATACCGTGGTTGTGGGCACATCCCCAGTAGGGGGTGTGCAAGAGGCAGCTAATCGATGATTCTCTCTCATCGATGTTTCTAACTCTCTATCCCTCTCTCCTCCTCTCTGTGAAAAATCAATAAAATATATTTTAAAAAAAAAAAGGAGGAGAACTTTACCTGTAAGTCCAGAGTACAGAGAAAATATAGTACAAGTGTAGATGTGGAATATTATTTCTTCATTTTTAACATCAAGGATTGTCCTTTGGGATGTCTCTCATAAATATTGCAAATGAAGCTTTCCCTAATACTGATGAGAAATTTTCCAGAAAATATGTTAGTGTATTAAGGGACACATTATACACCTTTATGATCAGAAAAGGAAAGGAATGAGGGTCAGTCAGAGGGTACAGAAAGGGCATATGCAATCAAGAGCCAAGCCCCATTTATTCTACCTCCCCCAAGCCTCTCCTGTCCATTTTCTCCTCTCCGATTGCCACAGCAATCATCCTACTTAAGGGCTTCATTGCCTCTTGACTGAGCAATGTTAATAGCCTTCTATTCTTCCTAAACCATAATTCAGATTGCATCACTCAGGCTCTCATAGACCTTAAAGTACTCCCCCATTACCTATCATACCACAAAGTTCTTGGCCTTTGGGACCCATAGAAATATCGTACCAAACTTTCTTCCGACCCTGGCTTTCATTGCTCTTTTCAGAGTATACTATGCTACTTACAAACCCAGATACTTCTTAGTCTACAAATCAGTACTTCTCTTCCATCTGAGCTTCACTCTAACACCCTCTCCATTTTAGTTATCTCTATCTTAATCATAGCATCTCCTGTCAGAAGTATTCCATCATTCAAAGCTTGATTTAAAAGTTATCTTCTCCCTAAAGCTTTTAACTCCATGTTTATTCATTCCTCTCTGTGCCTCATAGTATATTTAATTGTGAATCTGTATGTTTTCCTCTGCTGTAACATATGTATCATTAAAGTATGTGATCATATTTCATAGATATTTTAAATATCACGATACTCGGTAAAAGTGAACAAATGAATACATGCAGCCACAAATAATTACTTTGGTCTGTCATGTCAATATTCCAAAAGGAAGAAGCTTGGGCTGTGCTGGAGGAGCTGGCAGCCACTCTGGCTGGCCACGGATTTGCGTAGTATTACTTCTGTGTTCCCTTCCTAATTTACATGCCATGAGTACAAAGTTTTTATGTATGTATGTATGTATGTATGTATGTATGTATGTATGTATGTATTTTGGAAGGGACCTCTTCTCAGGTACTATGTTCCTGATATATTTCCTTGAATGGTGATTAAGGGGCCAACCTGGCTTCCTAATGGAAGAGGAAGAGAAATGAATGAGATGATTCTTCCATGAGGAATCTCCTAAGCTCCAAGGAGAGAATCTTCTCTAACTGGATGATTAAAAG